GAGAGATGGCATTTGGGAATAGTTGGCACAGCAAGTACTGAACACTTTGGACTTCTATCTGGTGGGAGGGAAAATTTATCCAGAATGTTTGTATTGCCTGTTTTGTAAAGTAGCTGCACATACACACACAAACACCATTCATAATCACACTTGAGTCTCTTCCACCTACCTTCAGTAAAGCTCCCCAGGATGATTTTTGATCTATTGCACCGAAGCTTTGTAGCTTCCAACAAATTCCAAGGGGGAGGGAACTAGGCCCCCTCAGGTGATTTGCAATTCTTATGCACTGACTAAGGAAGCAACAGGAAAGATCCCAAATCTCAGCCCTGAATATCTTGCATTGGTGAGCCCGGATTGGGAGTCCTAGAGCTCATTATGTGCAATTTAAGGAAAATTTAATAGCCTGGCATACTGGCTAACTTTAATTGGACATTACTAACCTGGATGCACTGAACTAAAAGCTAAGGCAGGACACAACCCCTGAAAATGGGCAGCCAGTGGTCATGTACTAAGGAAAACCATGGCTGTGAAGAATTTTGAGAGGAATGTGCAAACCTGACTGGAAGCTAAGAGTGACATCCAACATTTGAAAATGATTGTCACAGAATATTGGGCACTATAAATTTCTTTTACACCTAACAATTTTTGCCCTGACTTTTAGAACTTTATGGGTTGCAAGCTCCCCTTTTAGGAGAAGGGATCTTTTTCTGCTGCCTCTATTAGTGTCTTATTTTTTTTTTTGCCTAACAGTTTAAAAGCTTGCCTACCAAGTCTCCCTGACCAGATCAATTTTAATGTTGTGCCAAATAAGTGTGTTACACTTAAGGCACAAAGCGGGGATATTGTGGGAAGTTAACCCAGAGAAGGAAATATTAAAAAGGCAGAAAAAAATATTGTTCACCAAAAGGATTTTTAAAAGCATTTTTTGAAAAGCAGAAACCAAACCTGGCCTCATCTCTTTGCCCAAAGCAATAGCTAGTCTTATACAAATGCAGATGTGGAACCATCAGGAAGTTTGGAGCCAGGGATCTCAAGACAAAAG